GCTAGAATATCTAATATAACGGCGATGATTTCCCAGCAAACAATCGATGACTGTGGAACGCGGCTAACGCAAATAAATCACACGATCCGTTCGATGATTTGTTTGAAAATTACAATAATGTCGTTGGAAAAAAAAATGAATCCGATGGAAAAACGAATGATGCTGTGGCGGGTGAAATTAAATTAGCAGCGACTGAGATTTCCGTAAAAGAAAAAAAACCCATTGAGGAAAAGGACCAAGTAGATTCTAATTTAGATGATTTTATAAGCGGACCAATGCATGGAGATACTTCTTTTATAACCGAATACGAAGAAGAAGAAGAAGCGAGCAAAAGATGGCGGCGATGATGATGCGATACCCAATCACGGTATCATCACGAAATCTGTAAATATATTCAAATTAGATAGAAACGAAGATATTCTTCCAGTATTAACAAATTTCGATCCTTTTACGGCAATCGAAGAAGATTCGGAAGATTGCTCGAATCCACTGACAAATTCCGACATTTTAAATTCCCCAGCGGACGAATCTCCATTTTCGCAATCGTTAGAGAAGACAAAAGATTGGGAAAACGCAGGGGAGCCAACGTTGAAAATCATAGAGGAAACGAACGCAGAAAGTAATGATGTTGTTATTGTAAACAAATCGAACGATGTTATGAGAAAATTGTTTACACAAACAATATCAAATGAAAATTCGGATGATTTCACCGAGCAAAATTACGAACAAGAAAACGATGAAGAAGGATCAAAATTATGCGTAGATGAAAGTATGAACGCCGCCAGGTCCCAAAATAATTTCATTACACCGAACCCATCGAGTTTCGTTTCAATTGATAAAATTGAAGTTGACGAATTTTTCTCATCGGAAGATATACTAAAGGGTTTCGAAGAGAATAAAAATATCAACGAAACCGAATGCGAAATAAACAATTTGAAAATAATTGAAAATAAAATCGAAACTCCGTCTGATAATAATACTACTAATACTAATAATAATAATAATAACAATATTGAGTTATTCATAGACGATGAAGGAGAAATTGAAGACTTATCAAACGGCAAAACGCGTGAGGAGGGAAAACATGACAAAAATGGTGTAGTAAATATGTTTGTTAGTGATGATAACAAGGAGGAGGAGGAGGAGGAGGACAAGTGGACCACCGTTGAAGAAGTTTTGAAAGCTCAACCAGAAAATTTCGAACTGGAGGGCGATTCCGGTTATGTTAACGTAACTAACGAGTGTGATGATAATAATAAAAATAACAACATTGTAAATAATTCTACTAAAGATGATTTTGTCGGACTAACAGATTCTCAAGTTAACGGATTTTCAGATTCAGGTTCAGAAGTAAGTTTTCTTTTTTTTTTTTTTTTTTTTTTTTTTCATTTATTAATTTATAACAATTATTATTATTATTAGTATTATTTTATTTTTAGCTTTTCGCTTAAAAATTTTGTTTCCCGTTTGTTTGTTTGTTTGTTTTAAATTTTAGTCATATTTGGAAGTGATTTGATTTGTTCGTGCCACTTTTTTTTTTTTTTTCTTTTTCTTTTTTTCGATTCTAAAAATAATAATAATAATAATAATATAAAACTTTATTTAAACAGGTGTTTAAAATAAAGCCAACAAAAAAAATTAGGCCATAACGTCGTACTCATTTTACGGGATTTATTTTTTTATTTTTTATTTTTTGCGTAGTATTTACTGTTTTGTAATGTTAAACAAGGGGGGATTGTAATGGTTCTCGAAATAATGTTTTAAAAGAAATTAAATTTTTTTAAAAAATGGTTACTTTTATTTGTTGTCTTAGAAAGTTGTTTAAAGGAAATTTCATTTTAGTTTAAACATTAATTTTTTTTTTTACATTATTTTGATAAGAAGGAAGGAAAAAAAAAGTAAAGAAGAAGAATTAATTTTATATTTTACGTGAAAAGTAATCGATGACTTAGTTTGGTCACCTTAATTTAAATTTTTTTTGTTTTTTCTTAAAAAAAAAACTGAAAATTACAATAAAAATCTATTTTTGTAAAAATTGTGCCAAATATTTTCAGCATTACTGGGTTACTTACTTCCTAACAATAATTTGGCATCACTCGGTTGTTCTCATTTGGAAATTGGCACATTTATATCATAATTCATAACAAATAAGAATATTTGATGTCGTGACATTTTTTTCCCTCCCCTCCCCTTCCCCTCCCTCCCTCTTCTTAAAAATTTCTTTTTTTTTTTTTTTTTTTTTCGACAAAACCAGAAGAAAGAGAAAAATCATGGCCAATTATTCATAGGTCTTGGTAAAAAAGACAAAGTCGAAAGTAATCGACCGACGTCAATGCCAGTTTACTTTTCTTGGTCAAGTTCAAGAAATTGATTTGTTAGGCAGCAAATGGCTCTACATACACTTTCTTATTTTAAAGGTCACACAATATAAAGTTTTTGTACAAAAAAAAAAATTTTTTCTTTATATTATTATTAACGAATTTGTTTGTTTTATCATGGGTTGTTGTATATATATTTGATTTCTATTGAAATCGAATGTTTGATCGAATGTCGTCGTTTAAAATTAAAGTACAAATTCCTTTTCTATTATTCTAGTTTTTAAAAAATTCATTTTTTCAACGCCGACTAAGGTCAATTACGAAAAAAAACCTGATAATAATAATAATAATAATAATAATTAAATTTAGCTATTTTTGATTATTCATCGCGAATGAGTATCGCTTTTTTTTATTTTAGTGGATTAATTACCATAAGTTGCTCCCCATCATGGAATCAAAAAATTCAAATAAGGAAAGGACTTATTGCGAATAATTTCCTTTTTTTTCTTTTTTTTTTTTCGATAAGCAAAAATGAATATTTTTTTTAATTAATTACTCACACGACGAATATATATTTTCCATTTGATTAAACGTAACCGGTACGCGCACTCACGCACACACACACATACGCAACACAAATATTTAACTCGATCATTTTCATTCTTAATAATTTTTTTTAATTTTTTTTCCCCCCCTTTTTTTTTAAAAATTAACCGTTAAAGTTCATGTTGAACTCTTTTTTAATTAAATAACGTGTTTAAACCGTAAATAATAATAATAATAATAATTTTTGTTGTTGGGTTCATTTGTTAAGTTAAAGTTAAACAATTATCAGTTATTAAGTTAAAAAAGTTAAATTATTATTATTAATCGTGTCGTCAGAAGAATACTGTTTGTTTGTTTGTTTACAAACATGTTTTTTCGATTAGAACTCCATTGATAGAAATTTTTTTTTTTTTATTGCATCGTAAGCGCTTAATTACTGCCTAAAATTTTTATTTAAAATTCGGTCTGATATATGCACAATAATAATAATAATAATAATAATAATAATAATAATAATAATGATGATGATGATGATGATGATGAAAAAATGAAGTTTATTTACTTTTTCGGACGTTAACCCTAAAAAACATATTTCGAGGTCTTCTTTCGTGAACTTTATTATAATTAGTTTAGGTATTATTATTATTATTATTATTATTATTATTATTATTACTTTTAATTTTTGTTAATTTTAAAATTGAGGTAGTTGTCTCACATTTGTTTAAATGTTTTTGTTTTAGTAGCGTTAAGGGATTTAAACGAAAATTGTTTTTGTTTTTGTTTTGTTGTGATTTTTTTTATTTGTAAACGTTGGGATTATTGATTATTGATTATTGATTGATTTTTTATTGAAATTACGAATTTATAATAATATAACGACGGCCATTATGCGTTTACAATTTTTTTTTTTAAATTTTAAGGTTAAATAAATTATAATTACGATTTCACAGCGTTTTATAGTTTTTAACGTGTCGTAAAAATCTATTACGAAGATAAGAATCGAAAAAAGTTTAAAAGAAAAAAGGAAAAAATTCGAGAGCTTTTCTTACTAAGTCAACCTTTTTATAATTTTCCTTTTAAAAAAAATTTATTTCTACCCTTAGGCGACGGGAGTTTTAGAAAAAATTGAAAAAGTACATGAGAAAGTTTTTTTATTTTAAAATTAAAAATTAAAAATATTTAAAAAAAATTATCAAGTAGCAAAACTACAAAAACATGAAAGCGTGAAAATAATTTTTTTTTTAAAATGCATTTTAAATAAATTGTACAAAATAATAATAATAAAAAAAGTTAAATTGAAAAACAATTTTTTTTTGAAGAAGAAGAAGAAACAAAATTTGAAATAGTTTGAAAATTATTATTATTATTTTTTTTTTTATAAACGATTGTCGTTAAATAATTAATTTTCGTTTAAAAGTCGTCGTTTTTTTTATTTTCTATTAATTATCGATAATATATAAATATTTTAAAGAATTTTTTTTGCTTTGAATTTATAATAAAAAAATTAATATTAAATATGAATTCTTAGAAACGTCAATGAATGACCCCCATGTAATAACACGTTTACACAATTTTTTTTTTTTTTGTATGTTTTGGTTACTAAGAAAAAAAAGAAAAAGTTTTTTAAAAATCTTAACTAAGTAATTTTTTTTTTTTTTTTTTATAAAATTTTAACGAGTAACGTTTCTAACACACACACAAAAAAAAAATGGACGTGAATAAAGTATAAACGAATTCAGCATATTTCCAGACCTTCTAACAAAGACAAAAAAACTAACGTAAATTTAATTATTATTATTATTATTAATTAAATTTCATATATAAAAAAAAAGTGACTGATTGAGCATTTAAATAATTTAAAAAAGGGGGATCCCATGGAAAATTTCTTGTTGAAAAAAAAAACAAAAATTCTACTTTTTTATTATTATTATTATAAAAGTAGAATAATTATTTATTTATTTATTTATTGGGAGAGGAAAAAATTGTTTTTTATAATTTATTTTATTACATTTTATTTTTATTATTGTGTTTATTTTATTTTTTCTGAAGAAGAAGAAGAAGTAGAAGAAGAAGGTTCGTAATCAATTTGTTGATGATAACTTCTTTTTTTTTGTGCTCGATTCGATTAAAAAAAAAAAAATTTTTTTTTTTTTACACTTTCTACACATGAATTAAACTACTCCCACTTTCACCACCATCATCATCATTTCATTTAAAAAGCCTGCTAAATTACTTTGATTGGTCAAAAATGATTATTATTATTATTATTTCTCAGCACTTTTAATTATGTTAAATATTTTTTTTAAAAAAAAAAGGAAAATTTTTACGAAAATTTAACTTATCATCTTCTTAGAAAATAATTTTTTTTGTTGTTGTTGTTGTCTCTCAAATTTATTATTAAAATGATATTTATACTGTTTGTTTAAATAATTGAATTGTTGTTAATAAATGTTTTTTTTTTTTTTTTTTGTTTAAATTTTACAGAGCGAAACTCAAAGCGAATCAATAGAGAAAAAAACGGTTAAAAAAAAAAAATCGAAAAAGGGAAAAAAATCAGATGAAAAAGAAAATATATCGGTGGTAAGTTGTTTTTCTCCTACTTTTTTTTTTTTAAAGTATACTAAATGTTTATTTTTTTGTTTTTTAATCACGTGACTTTTTTTTAAAATTATTTTTTTTAAAGTTTTTTTTTATTACGTGTAATTTTTTTTTTTTTTTTTAAAAAAAAAAAAATATTTTTAACATCATTTTTAATAACGAATTGTTTTTTTTTTTTTTATGTGTGATTTTATATTTACTAACTTATTAATAATAATAATAATAATAATAATTAGGAATCGAAATCCGTTAAATTGGAAAAATCTTCACATTCTCTACCCCCGTTGGAAGATGCACAAGATTTATCAAACGTATCAGTTAAAAATTTGGTAAGTTGTCGTTTTGTTTTGTTTTTTTGTTTTTTTTTTTTTTTT